CTTCTTCTCTCTTCTTCTTTTCTCTGTTATTTCTATTCTCAATTCTTATTTCTATTCTCAATTCTTAGAGTTTATCAACTGGTATTAGAGCCCATAATCCTCGGCCATGGGTACTGATGGAATCACAACAAGAGTTCAAGAGGCTATTCGAAGGGAATTAGCTCTCTTAGTTACAGAATCTGAACAAAGGCAAGAAGTGAGGTTACAGAGGGCTTAAAACCGTAAAAGATTAAGATTTTTTTAGAATACTCCTTAGTTTGTGGAGTAATTTATGGGATATTTTGTTTTTTGATTGAAAAGGAATGGTTCATCCACTTACTTTTGTAATCTTTTATTTTGTATTAGTTAGGGAGTAGGTATGACTGTGCTGGAATGTTTTGTAAAAATCTCTTATATATTGACTAATTAAAAGGAATTTCCATTCGTTTTTTGACATTGTCCTACCTGCTAAACAACTCTTCTCTCTTCTCTTTTATTTTTCAAAACTATGAAAAATTAAGAAAAACCCTTATTGCTGGTTTAAGCTATCAACAAATTGAGATTATGGGAAGAACTAGATTAGGTAATTCTTCAACTCATGTCACTGATAATACGGCAGATCATAACACTTGTTATGCAATTTTTCTACCTATAGACAAATCAATGCAAATAATACCAAAACAATACAAATAAGAAGATAGTAATTTCCTTTCCTATTTCATATGGAATTTTTTCTACTTTTAAGCATGCCTAATAAAAATCTCAGGGTTTTAATGTAGTTGGAGTTGGCAGGGGTATTTTCAAAAAAACAGTATTTTAACAAACCAAAAAGTAATAATAAAAAAAAACAAGTATTTTAAAACAAACAAAAAGTAATAAATAATAAAAAATCACATCAATCTTCCAACTAGCCCTTTTTATAACCATTAGAAGAGCGAGTTGAGTATCTTTTTTTTTTTTTTTCTAAAATACCCTTCCCAACGCCTATAAGAATGACTAGTTTGAAGATGACTAGTTTGAAGGGATATTTCAGTGAAAAAAAAATTATATTTTCTATAAATAGCTAAATTATTCATTTGTAATTTTACAAATAATTCTCAATTTACAATTCTCCCATCTTAATTATTATCAAAATTAACTTTTGAAATGGAGAACTCTTCTCTCCCACTCCTGGCCTCTTCCAAGGTTTTAGACTAGTGTACTCATAGTAGTGAAAGAGTTAAAATTAGAGAGGATCAAAAGTTTGTGCAGTAGCTGGAATAGGTAGTGATATAGTAGTTGGAATAGGTACTGACGATCATCCAGCAGAACCCAACTTTGAAGCAAAATGCAAATGTTCTTTTCGAGATGTAATGATGCAAGAGTCTAGGTGAAGGATACCAATCACGATGATTAGGATGATGAATCTGAAGGAGAATATAATTTAGGTGATGATCCTGAGTGTCCTACCATCTGAGTTTCTAAATTAGAGAAGGTGGTTTCATGTGTGAACCCCTACCCCAAATATCATTCCATATGAATGCATGTGATTAAGGGCAGAAATGCACGTGAATGTATGAGTCGCCACCTTGTTTAATTATTTTCGGGTAAACTAGGAAAAACCCTAAGTTGCCTAAGTTGACTCCAATTTATTAACCTTAATTAATTAGATTATATTTCCCATGTCTAAGGCCATAATCTACGAAGCCCGAAGGTGGATCCCGAGACCTATGTCCATATACTGATGAAACAAACCAAAATAATTGAATGCTTTGCAGGGTAAATGATGTAATTAGAACCAATGAAAAATATTATGTGATTTCGACTTGCGCTCGGGGTTAAATCCCAAACGTGCCTACCGTACTTCCCGTTTGAATGGACGATCACAAGTCAACGTAGTTCGATAGGCTTTTAAAGGGCTTTGAAATGGGTAATGCTTTATGCAATGATGGTGTGTATGCCTTTTGTGCATTTTGTTTAGGCATTTTGCCAAAGATTTGATTGATTTGTTAGGCATTTGATGGCCCAAAAACGTTTGAATTTTAAATGGCTTTAGCCCAAAAGATTGATTTAGGCAATTGTTGCCAAAAGATTTATGTGATTTAGAGCGATTGTCGCCAAAATGCTTGATTTTAAGGCTTTTAGCCAAAAGTTATGCTTATTTAAAGGCTTTTTAGCCCAAAAAGAATGATATTAGGCAAATTGGTTTTTGCCAAAAACATGGATTATTCTAGGCCGATTGTCGCCACATGATTAATTTCAACGGCTTTTGATAGTTGATCTAATTTAAGCATTCTGTGCCAAAAAAAGGTTGATTTTAAGCGATTTGTCGCTGAAATAGTTCATCCTAGTTTTAGGCCAATGTGGGTTTATTCACAACTTGTCTTGGGTTTCGTATTCGTCCCCCATCTCTCACCCATGCCAGGCACTTCTAAACTCCAGGTTAAGTCTGCTTAAGGGAAAATTAATTAATTTGATTTTAATGGCCCACTTAACAAAGCCAGACCAAGCAATTAAAAGCTAAACTAAAAATGCCACGCCAAAGCAGTAAAGAAGTCGCAAAGAGCGTAGGGGAGAAGGGAGCGTCGCTCAACACAGGCTGAAGTGAGTTGAAAGGTTTCACACCGGGGCTGTATTTATAGGCCCTCAACCCCCAAACAGACTGTTTCGGCACGGCCTCGGCCGCCGGAGCTCGGCGGCCCGCTTGCCACCGGTGGGGGCAGCCGCAAGCCGCCGGCGATAGCGGCTACCGCCGACAACGTGAAGCGGGGGCCGGCCGCCCCGCAGGCAGGCCGGCGCAATCTTTCATCACGCTTTCTCGTCTCCGGAGGCCTTTTCACAGGGAGTTTTCGGACCTCCAAAAAATATTCCGCAGGACCAGTTCCGCGATCCCTCCGAGGACTCACAGCACGTTTTTAGTACCATACTCCGCATACCTTAGGAGTCACTTTCTCCAAAATGGCCTCTGGTCCGGCCCAGAACCTGTTTGCCGTCCGGGAAACTGCGCTCACCTCTTCGACGCTCAACACTTTGAGTATTCACATCATGTCAACCATCGAACAACCTCATTTTAACTAGTTCAAGTATTGGGATGTTTGATTGGGCTTTAACTTCCTCTCACACGACGACTCTCTACGACTTTAGCGGCCCTTGAAATCACGCCCTATTCCAAAATGGCCTCTGGTCCGGCCGAACTGTTTGCAGTCCGGGAAAACTGGCTCTTTGAGCCTCAAAATTTGAGTATTCACATCATGTCAACCATGAAAACAAACTTTTATAGTTAAAGTATTGGGATGTTTGATTGGGTTTAACTTCCTTCACAAGAGACTTAAGACTTTATGGGCCTTGAAATCGCCACTTGTATGATTGATTTAGTCAATAGATATTTTATGCTACGATTCTCGAATCAAAATGAGTATGAACATACTCTCTTTGGAGGACCTTGGATGATGGCTGATCATTACCTCATTGTTCACTAATGGCAACCTAATTATGATCCGGTACATGCTACTATTGATAGGGCTATGGTATAAGTACATATTTCTAACCTCCCAATTGAATATTATGCTAAGGGCTTCTTATTGAGGTTAGGAGGATTAGTATTCCCATTTGAGCAGATGAAACTACTTTAGATGCAATAGGGGGAAAGTATACCAAGCTCTATATGGAGGCTAAGTTTTCTAACCATTATTATCCAAGTTCAGGTTACCCATGTGTATAAAAAGGATTGAATATGAAGGTATACATCAAATTTATTTTTCTATGGGTGCTATGTTCATATGAAGGAGGTGTTATACTTTAATGGCCTCAATAGAGAACAAAGGTGAGTTCAACCAGACATCAAGACAATGCTCCTCCAACTAGCTAGTGATATTAATGTTAATTTTCGGCCATAAAAAACGACAACGCTTATCCTGGCTGAGATAGTGAATAAGTTTAGGCCTTAGATGTTAGCGAAGAAAGAGAGAAAAGATATTCTAGAAAGCGGGAAAAGATATGCTGGAAATCAGCATTTTTACATCAAAAAGAAGTCAATGTGTTTAATACTCCTAATGTTGTGCGGAAGCTATTATCGAGAATCAAGTAACTATTAGTGTTGCAGGATCTTGTTCTCCAATTTTAAATGATCAAAGTTTTGATAATGATTTAAATAATCAAAATGTTAATAATGATTTGGGGGTGATAATAGCATAGGTTTACCACACAAGGTATTACGGAGGGCCAATATAAACTTGCATCTAGTACTAAGGCTTCGTTTGTTTTCGTAAAATAACTTGTACGGAAATATTTTCCACAATTTTCTATTCTTTGAGAGCGTTCAGGAAAATAAGTCAATAGAAAATATTTTCCTAGTCAAAGAAAAATCAAGTCATTTTTAAGGAAAATGACTTTCCATCTTTAAGAGAATGAAATATTTTTCGGATATTAACAAATTTATTATAACCTTATAAATCCATATATTTTAATTTATTAATCATCGGTAGACACTACTACCAATCACTATTCACCATTGGCTATTATCGGTCACCGCGATTTTCATAATTTACCTTTTTTCTTTTGCGTTCTTCTCATATTTAACAATAAAAATTTTTAAAATACAAAATTTTTAATATTAATAATATTTTTATAGTATTATGAGTTAAGAGTTTTAATATTTTTAACTGATTTTCAATATTGCAACCAAACAAAAGAAAATAAATCATTTGGAAAATATTTTTTTTAAAAAGTATTTTTCTCAAAAATATTTTTTAGAGGTACATTATTATTCGAAAACAAACACAGCCTAACACTCAAAAAAAGGCCCAATGTAGTTATTTCAAATATGCCTAATGATCTGAAAAAGCGCTCTCCTCAGTCCATTGGGCTTCAGCCCAATCTCCAAAACCCGAGCAAAATAGCAATGCCGAGTTAGTTCGGAAACCTGTTGCGAAAATGTAAAGAAACGTTATATGTATAATACTCTACAGCGCTTCCCTATTAATTACTTGCAGGTTATGTTAAAGTCTACGCCATTGAGTATTAACCATTGAAATATTTCTACATTCTTATGTAAAATTTTCAAGCATTTCCTTATGTAATTTCATTCAAGTAGTTACGTACAGTAGGCTTGTGCAGTTAGACAAGGTCCAGCCTTACATTGGTCAAGGCCCCAAATATGGGTCGTGACAGTGTATTTCACTCATAGAACTACATGAGCTAGCGAAGGACATAGAACGCACATCCAACCAGTCAAATACTTCCATGCTTGGGTCAGGAATGATGACTCCATATTTTTCACACCACTTTGATATCAATTCCTTCATGGCTGTGTTTGGAGTGAATGATAGATGTGCCAGTTTCACTTTTGTTCTTGGACATATTTCATTACCTTCGTCAAACCAATTTTGTATGAACACCCTCTCAAATGTTTGTCCGGAAGAAATGACGACAGGATCAAACATCAATCTCCTAGATATCGGGCACTTGAATTCCTCAGGGAGCGTATAGTTCGTCAGAAAATCAATTTGAGCCTCAAACTGCTCAAGTCCTATTTCAAATTCTTCTTCACCATATGAACTACATATAAACTCACTGCGTCCAACAGATCCTCCAGGCTCAGGTTTAGGATTCTCTATTTGCTCTTCCATAATCATGTTTCCATACTTTTTCAACAGATATAAAAGGTAATTCAGGATCTTCTTGGTAGACTCATCGTGACCAACTTTATCTAACTGTTTCCTGATTGATCTTTCCTCTATTTGTATGGCCTCTGGAGATTTAATAAAAAGACATGAAGCAGCAATCTGCAGTGCTTTTATTTCAGGATCTTCCACTGAATCAGATGGAGAAACGCCCTGCAGAATCAGTTCACGCATAGCCTTACCAGCCTCTTCATCAGAAGAGACCAGCATAAATTTTGCTGCATTTAGATCATTGATAATTTGAGAGATCTGCAAATGAAAGTTCATTAGCAATTTTACCAAAGAACTGATGCTCCATAACACAAGTATGATAGAGAAATTACAAAAATGGAATTGAGCTGATTTAAAAAGACTTCCGCTGGTATTTATTTTCCTATAAACTAGAATCTCAAACACTAAATAACAAGTAAACTAGCATAGACAACAGAAAGGAATGGGGGCACCTGCAACATGGACAAAAGGGATTCAGGGGTTTCATTTGTTACTAACATTTAGATTATATGTAGATGATCTAGGATGAAGGAGTTAGATTTCATGTTCTGTAATTTGAATTTCAGCAACCACCAATCAGACTGTTGCAGAAAACTATTCCAGCACTAATTGCATCCCCATTTTCAGGGGAAAAAATCACAAAAACCAAGAGATATGACAGGATACCACAAACATTATTGTTATCGACACAAGGAAATAAACATGTTGAGGCACGAAAAACTATGGAATTGTTAGACATATATATGTATATGTAATTTCAGGTTCTGTAATTTTCTCATTGAATAGTGTCTATCAGCCATAATACCATCCACTAGAGAAACAAACAAAAGAAAACTTTGTTCAAAGGAATGTAATTTGACAAACCTCAGCAGCCAATAAAGTTGGAACCATATCTTGAAGATGGGATAATCTTTGTTCAAAAGTGTTCCTCAATCTTTGACATCTTGACAGCATATCTTCTCCTATTATTACCTAAAAGTGATGCAAGAAGCACTATCAACCACAAATTAATCGATAAAGTGCATATATTAATAGTACTGATGCTGGGGAGTAAAAGGAAAGGAGGAAAAACAAAATTAATCATTCCAATTTCTACATAAAAATTTTGATGTTTCAGAGGACGAATATCCCAATAACAAAATACGATGAAGGAAAATCCATCTGGAAATCACATTGGTCTTATGAAATTTAAGGATAAAACAAAATGTCGAGATAAGAATAGGCATACGTAGCATTTATAACTGACACGGATGTATGCATACTCATGAATCAAGGAATGATGAGTTTTATGAACATAGTTACCAAAAACAGTTTACTAGACTCGCAGCAGCTCTGAAGAATCTGCATGGCATTCTCAATACTGAAATTTAAAGAGCATAGTGCCTGAATTCCCGATGAGACTCGTGGCCGAGCTGCTTCTATTTTAGGAAATACTTTTCCAATTCTATCGACGAGTTTCATTAACTCTGTGCACATTGAACGATGAACCTGCAAAGATGAACTACATTAAGATACCTTGAAAACAATAGAATTCATTCAAATGAAGACTAAAAGAAATTCAGAAGTACAAAAACAAGCTGCAACACAAACTCCCTTTACTAGTTAAATCATAACCCACTCGTTTGTCATCAAAAGGAAAACATGACATAAACAGTTAAAATGCAACGAGGCAAACTTTCTTCATAATCCTAAGCTCACATTAAATGACAAAAACTCTACACCACCATAAAGGGAACACATTTTATTGTAAATCTTACTTTAATTCATTCAGAAAGTACATTTTTATGCCAGAAAGATGAAAGGATGATCTAATAAATTTTGATCTGAAAATATTCCATATTAAACGATAATATGGCAGACAATACAACTGAATAGCATATTTAAAGTTAGATTATTCGAGCAGCACCAAATATATTGACTTGCGACACTATACCTTGAACGAGAAGAGGCAAGGAAGTGGCTCCACTACATTATCAACATTAGTCCCCATTCAAAGTGAAGAATGCAGGGCCTGCACATTAATGAAATTAAAAGGTCAGTACAGCTAAATAGAAGTATAATATATAGTATAAGTCTAAGCATAAGATATTTATTATAAGAAAGTTAAATCACAACTATACTGACCTATAAACAGCAAAAATCAACAGCACTAGCAGTTAATCACAAGTTTTGAGTTCAGAATTCCACAGCTTATAAGAATTACTTGTCGTCTTAACTTGTTTGCCAATGAAAATCACAAGAAACCCAGATAAATAATCAAGCGCACGTACAAATAAGCCTCACCTAGTAATTTGAAAACATAAACAACAATAAGAAGCACCCTCTGAGCTAATAGGGAAGCAAAAAAACACAAGGTCTTTTCCTTCCTTGCAGGGAAAAAAAAAAAAAAAAAAGTTATAGGGAAGCAAAAAACACAAGGTCTTTTTCTCCTTGCAGGAGGGAAAAAAAAAAAAAAAAAATTTATCACCTCAACCTCCAGGTTAGCCAAACTCCAGTTCTTAAATCACAAAATCTCTTTCAAACAAACTGGTCCTTAAATTCAGATTAACCACAAGTTTTGAATTCAGATTTCCAGGGCTTATAAGAATTGCTTGTGTTAAGTTGTTTGCGCATAAAAATCACAATAAACCCAGATAACTAAACAAGTGCATACACAACTAGGCCTCACCTAGTAATTTGAAAACATTTATAACTACAATAAGAAGTACCCTCTCAGCGAATACAGAAGCAACCAAACACAAGGTTCCCTTAACAAAACGTTAGCACGTCAACCTCAGGGTAGCCAAAATCCAACTCTTAAATCACAAAATTTCTTTCAAAAAAAAAAAAAAAAAAAAATTCAAAAAAAAAAAAAAAAACAGGATCCCTTAAAAATCACATATTTTTTGATTTACAAGAAGACCAGACAAGTAGGTTGATTCCTCAGGTCAAACAAGTTCTTCGTACGAAATGAAAGAAAAAAGGAAAGGAAGTCAAAGTGACGAAGAACGGTTTGATCTAATAATTCAGGTAGGACGAAAAAAAAAAAAAAAAAAAAAAACAATAAAATTGGCCCCTGGCTACCAAACCAAAAAAAAAAAAAAAAAAAAAACAAATAAAATTGCCCTGGCTACCAAACCTATGCAAATGTTCCTTTCCGATTTGCTATGCAATTTTTCTACTTTTAAGCATGTCTGATAACAATCCCGAGGTTTATTGTTGTTAGAGGTGGCGTGGGTATTTTTGGAAAATAAAAATCAACATATCTTTTTCCAACTAGCATTTTAGTAATCTTTTGCGGAAATTACTTGACTTTTTTTTGCTTCTTTTTCTATTGTTTACAAAAATACTTTTTTTTTAAAAAAAAAGACTAGTTTGGACAGGGATGATGACACGCATTAGAGATGGGGCAATTGCGCCTTCTTTTTTGCCCTCCTTCTTTATGAAAAAAAAAAAGGATAAAGAAAACGTCTTCTTTTTTATCAGCAAAAAGATTAAATTTTATTAACTTATAATGTCCAAAAAAAACTTAATTTATCCAAATACTATAACACTGACTTAAGCCTCCCTAAATTGTCATTCTATCACATAAGCAACTCTTTCCGTCCTAAATTTTCATTTTGTCGCATAATCAACTTTTTTCCTCCAAAATTACCAACCCCTTCCATCTAAAATTATCCACCAACTCGTTTCATCTAAAATTATCTAAAATTTTCATTAGTCTACCTCAATTTATATGGTCAAAAGAGAGAAAAAATAAAAGACAATTTTATCCTTATAACCACTTATCCTTAATCTTGATCCCTAACCATATTCACACCACCACTGCCACCACCGTCTCCTCCACCGTAATAATCACTACCTACACAAATAACGTCCATTTCAATTTGTCAAAACTCTCAATATTACCTATTATTGATAACTTGCAAATGCAAAGCAAAAGCTAACATCACCATCACTTTCACTTTCGTCCTCCCGGACAAATCAAAAGAGAGAACTTGGGTGCGCTCTTCAAATTGAAAGCTCCGATGTGGAAAGCGTCCTGAAGTGCTATGTAAGTAGGTATCGTCAAACGGGTCACAGACATTCCCGAATCAATAATCACTTCTCCATTTTCAGTCTAGTTTGTGATACAGCTGAATCAACTGTACACTTAAATTTTTCTCTAAAAAGGTTCAGTGATGATACAACATTTTTTCGCATAAAATTGGATTAGATTTCCGATCGCCCTGGTTTTTAAACCGATGGTCCGTGGCTGAGATTACTGATGTGTTTAACTATTTTTACTTTTTTAGGTAACTAAGCGTTTCGCAACGAAATCGAACCTGAAAAGTGTGCATGGCCTGCTTGGTACACTTTTCGGTGCACCATCTCGTTTTGTGTGCCACTCGATCTGATTTTATAAAGTGGGCTCAGTCCCGTTGTGGGGGCCCAACAATGGCATTTTTGCCACGTTAGCCCTAAAATTGGGCTACCCACCCTCATTTACCTATAAATAGGCATTGGGGGTGTGTTAAAAGGGGGGATTCTTTTGGAAACAAGGAAAATTCATGCATTTTTAAAACTCAACCAAAGAAATCTGAAGGCAACTTGTGTTAAACCTTGGATTTGAATTGAGAACTTGTTGTTAATCAATCAAAAATCCCTTGTAAACAATCTAGAATCCTAAAAACACAAACCCTAATCTCGAATCTCAGATTTTTGGATCAAAGACCAAGTGTTGGATTTCTCTTCATCCATTTTTGAGCAAATCATCAAAGAAATGACAAAAGGTAGTTCTTGAGAACCTTTAAACGCTTTCTTCATCTTTTTCTTTGCTTTTTCGGTGTTTAAAACACTATTTCTGGGTCTGATTGTGAGAGGAACCTAGGATCAACCAAACAGGGGCTTCTGCACCTCTATGGCGCGAGGCCAACAGTAGTGGCGTGCACCACTATATGTGGCATGCGCCAATTCCTTGTGGCTCACGCCACAAGTGCCCTGAATCCTCTTATTTTTTGCCTAATAAATATTCCGATTCGGTGATCCTCGGGCCAAGCTCCGACCTTAAAAGGTTAATGATGCGTATTAGGTCATATATAGATCAAATAAACAAATGAAACTTGATTGAGAGCAATAATTGGTGGATATGTTCATCCTTGTAGGAGGAACATCAAGATCATGAACTCAAATCTTGTTAAAACCTTTAAATTTTTATCATTTAATTATTGTCTTTTACTTTATTAGCACTTTATTATTTCTGTTCTTTATTATTTTGTCCTTTAAATTCTTGTTATTTAGTTTAATGTTAATTGTCATTATGCTAACCCATTATTTATTAATCTTGTATCATTTACATTCATCATATTCATGCTTGTTGGATGATTGATTGTGTTGTGATCTTATAATTATTTCTGTTCTTTTATATTTGTTTCCTTTAAATTCTGTTGTTATTTAGTTTTAACATGTTAAATTGTCATATGCTAACCCATTAATTTAATTATTTATTAATCTTGTATCATTTACATTCATCATATTCATGCTTGTTGGATGATTGATTGTGTTGTGATCTTATAATTAATATATACTTCTGTAATTATTTGTTATTCTTTATGTTTGTTGTTTGTGGTTTGAATTTTTTTTTTATTTAAGTTTTATTGCAAAATATAAAGGGTCCATAAGGATTCTTATTAAAGCTTGCTTGTAATAGATAGATTGAGTTTGGAAAATTTGGAGGCTTTGAGTGTAGATTATAATAATTAGGTTGGTTTGTATTATATTCTCCTCATCTCCCCTTCTTTGGATGGTTTATTTCATGTTGTATGGATGAGATTGAATGTGTGTTTGACATGTTTTCTAAAATGCATAAAAGGTTTTACTTTGACATGTTTTCTAAAATGCATAAAAGGTTTTACATCTCAATTTTTAGTTAATTGCATTATTAAATTATTATGATTTAATGGACAACTAGGAGGCTAGCTTAGTCGGGCGAAATGGATGTCTGACACCTTCCCATTTCGTACTTAACTCTCGGACCCTATCTCTAGTTTAAAACCGGATTAGTTGATTCCAAATAATCGACTAATTCAAGAATTTTCCGTAATAAGGGTAGTGACTCAAAAATAAAACTCTTACCAAAGTAAGATAACATTTTTTTCGAGGATTAAACAGGTTTAATAAAGAGAAAACCATTTTACTAAATAAAATAAATGAAGCCCGTTCGATTCGATTCTTTCTAATCTTTTGAAAAAAATCCGATGTCCTCAGCCTGGCGACTCCACTAGGGATCGAACCCAGAATATGTGACATCCTACCGAGTCGAGTCTTAGCATAGAGTCGAGTCGAGTCGAGTCGAGTCGAGTTGAACCAAATTAATAATGCTATAAACTTTATAATGAGTTTATTTTTTTGTACTTATAAATGTCATTCATGCATTTATCTCTTCTTAATCTCTTTTCTACCCTAAACCCTAAAGGTGATAATGGGGGTTGTGATTCTTTCACTTTATTCAACTATTTGGATCTGCAACTGTTTTCGTACCTCCCCCCGGATGGGTCGAAAACGTCCTTTTTATTTCTTTTTGATGGAAATGTGGAAAGTGATCTTATTATGAAAAGTGGTGATAAAACATTTTATTGGATACGATGCCGATAAATCGGTCTTATAAAACATTTTGAGTCACCACCCAAAGCCTTAAATTCAACTTTTCTTCTATCCAAGTAAGTAAACCTTCTTTAAGTTCATAATTGAAGCATTTGGTGCTATTCTTTTAGAATTCATAAGGATTCTTATTTATAGGTGAAGGGAGTTCTAAGATTGTAGAGAGAAGAAGCTAAAGAAGAACTCAAGCTTTTTGGAGTAAAGGTTGAAAAAGCTTAAAGAAGAACTCACAAAGCCTTTTTGGAGTAAAGAGTTTTTATATCTCTTATGTTATTTTTTTCATTTCCTTTTGCATGAGAATTGGGTAAATGGTTGTGTTGCCTAGTGGAGATAATTACTTTATGTTTGAGTGGGAGGACCTGGTTAAAGTGGTGAAGAAAACAGGGGAGAAACAGGGGAGGTTATTGAATAAAAATGAAGTGAAATTGAGTTTTATGTTCGAAACAGGGCTTGCTGAATTTACGCAAGTAACATTCAATACTGAATTTTGAACCCCATTTATTGGAATGGAATAGGAAGTGGTCATAAGAAGAGTTATTTTGTTCCTCTAGGTGTTTAGATTTAACATGGGTTTTGTGAATCATCCAAATCGTAGTTTGCATATTGAGAGATATGACCAAAAGAGTACAGACAGTGGCAAGGCTGGAAGCGCGCGCGCGAATTGCATTAGGCTGGAAGCGCGCGCGCGAATTGCATTATGAGTTCGCGTTGCCTCCTCGCGCTCGCGAATTTGAATTACGCGCTCGCGACTTTCACCTGAAGCTCTCTGACTCTTATTTGACACATCTCGCGCTCGTGACTTTCAAGTGCACGCTCGCGACTTGTGCTCGCAACCTCTCTAACTCTCATTTGGCATTTCTCGCGCTCGCGACATGCAAGTGCGCGCTCGCGTACTTAGCCCTTGGCCTGTAAGCGCTCGCGACCTTCATCGCGCGCTCGCGCAGTTGGCCTGGGAACTCACTGTCTCTCATGTTCTCTCATGTTGCACTCTACGCGTCTGCACCTTGAAGTACGCGACTACGCGACTTGTGCCCTGATAACTCACTGTCTCCTCATTCTTTGCATTCTATCGCGCTCCGCGACTTTTGACAGTAACGCGCTCGCGACTCTGTGTTTTCATGCACTTTTGGATTTCTTTTCAATGCAATTTCATTCCTTTGCTTCACTATAATGCTCAATCATTTTTAACACCAAATTACATTAAATCCATTGGTATCAAAAACAACATCT